TACCTCTTGGATCATGGACTGGCTACACCTTGTGAGTCCCCCTTGGCCTCACCCTGTATCTTGGTGCCCAAACCCCAAGGTAAGGTGCGGTTATGTACTGACTATCGTAAATTGAATAACGTAACAGTCAAGGATGCTTACCCCTTGCCAAGGATAGATGACATCCTTGACGCCATTGGTAATGCCCAGTACTTGTCCCAAGTGGACTTGCTGAAGGGGTACTATCAAGTGTGTCTAACGGAGCGAGCTAAAGAGATATCTGCCTTTATCACTCCTTTTGGACTTTTCAGATATGAACGCCTTCCTTTCGGACTATGTAATGCCCCGGCCACCTTTCAGAGAGCTGTCAACCGTGTCATCCAGGGCTTGGATAACACATACGCCTACCTGGACGATATCGTCGTAGCATCCAACACCTGGAGTGAACATCTGCTCCAGCTGCGACGTCTGTTCTCCAAGCTCCTGACAGCCGGCCTCACCATCAACCTGGGCAAGTCCACCTTCGCGAAAGGTAAAGTGCGTTATCTGGGTCATGTTATTGGGAGTGGCAGCCTAGCTCCGTTAGACTCACACACTCAAGCCATCCAACAGTATCCACAGCCTATCACCAGGAAGCAGCTCCTGCGCTTCCTTGGTCTTGCCTCCTACTATCGTAGGTTTGTGAGAAATTTCAGTACAGTCGCCACACCTCTAATCCTATTAACCAGTCCCAAGCAACGGTATAAGTGGACCATGCAGCAAACCGTTGCTTTCGAACAACTCAAATTCCTCCTCTGTTCTAATCCCATTCTCGCCTCGCCAGATATCACCAAGCCTTTCGTCCTGCATGTCGACGCCAGTGATACCGGCGTTGGTGGTGTCCTGATGCAACAACGAGGCGAGGAGTTTCTACCTGTCAGCTACTACAGCTGCAAATTGAAACCACACCAGAGGAACTACAGCACTATTGAAAAGGAGCTACTATCCATCGTCCTGAACCTCCAACACTTCGCTCCGTACCTACAAGGCGCCAGGTCTACAACCATCTTCTCAGACCACAACCCTCTCCGCTTCCTACATCAAGCCCAATTCACTAATCAGCGTCTTCTACGATGGGCTTTGTATTTACAAGATTTCAACCTGGAGATCCGCTATATCAAGGGTTCTGACAACATCATAGCCGATGCCCTCTCCAGAGTTTATGAAGTAGAAGCGACTTCATCTATTACTCCACCACATAACGACGTACTTCTTCCAGAACCGCAGGCTTCGGGGGAGAGTTGTGACGATAATCTCCTTCAAGAGATTGAGCCTGCTCTTCCCTCCTAAGTTCGTCGCTATACATCCCTATACAACTAATATGGAAGAAATATCCAACAAGTACAACTCCAAGGTTTGCCAGAGAGCAAACGTATTCAGCACCAGGAACACCTGCTCCGCCTCCACCACTCGAACCACCAAACTACCTGTCCGTCGCCTGCTCATCGCTGATTGGCTGGTGGTCAGTCGCACCTGCTCCTCCACCGCCACACTACCTGATGTCTGGGGCCACCACGACCTACAGCCTCAGAATATCCAGTGCTTTCAACAAGTTAACACGTCTCGTTGGTAGACTAAGCTCTGGCTTACGTGTACTAAGAGAGGTGGCAGCTTAAAGCCAATATTCCTGCACCCATATTTTGCATTGTATATTGTTCACTTGTTATTACTCACTTATCTTAACGTAACTTTTCATTTTGCCATTTGATTATTCTTATTATTTTGATTGATTGATTTTATATTCCAATTTGTATGTCCATTTTATTCATGTTTTGCTATTCTAACGTAATTAAAATCTCATTGTTAAATTTACTTGTGTTTTGTGTGTCTTCCCATTACCTTACCACAGACGAAGTTCCAGATTTTCTCTGTTTTGTTTTTATATGTGACGAGGCCATACCCTAGCTTTTGAACAGCCGAACACCAACGCGTTACCGTCACAGGACCTACTCGAGGAAGCCATCCTCCATGTAATGAGGGATACAATCCTAGACTTCGATGGAGCAACATACTGTCAGATAAAGGGAACAGCGAATGGAGCCTCGAGTAGCGTAGCCATCGCCGAAATTTTCGTGTAATATTTCGTGCATTCTCTCCTTCGAATGGGAGAGAATGCGGAAGGAGGACAAATAAGCCAACACAGTCCATGATAACCTGAAATTCACACTGGAAAAAGAGTATCTCAGAAATAAATTTCCTGGATACGACAGTGTACATAGGTGAATCAGACAGGCTGCTCCACACGAGAGCCTTCTACAAACCTACAAACCTCCACACATACCTTAAATTTGACTCAAATTACTCTCTAGCCTTAAAGAAATCTCTTCCCTACTCACTAGGTTTCCGCTTGAAAGAATCAACAGCAGAGACGAGACCCTCATCCACCAGCTGGAGGACCTCTGGCAGATGTTTAGGACCGGGGATACCCAGAAGAAAATTTGCAGACGGTGGAAGTATACTAAACGACAAATCCACGACCCAACTGCTCCTCCCTGTAGGGACTCACAACGGTAAGAAGAGATGGATCCTACCACTGCTATTCTTACCAGGGTTGGCAGGTCTGCTGCTCAATAAACTGATAGAGATTTGGACATGGCTTAAGGACACCTACTGGGAACACCCATCTTGGAGCAGGTTCTCGGAAAAACCCCCGATGATAGCATGGAGGCGGGGTAAATCCCCTATGGGTGTCACCTTGTCAGAGCAGCCCTGAGGGCGACTTAATACTGCCTCAACCCAGGAACCTAACCTAACCTAAACCACTAGGAGGTAAGGCACTTAAACCAACCATACCTGACCTAACCTTGAAACAGGAGGCCCCTCAAGATAAAGGACCCTCAAAGCCAACCTAACCTAACATAATCTAACCTAAATCTACCCTAACCTGACCTAACTCCTCAGCAGTCTCCGTGGTGTAGTGGTTATGATGCTCGCCTGGCGTTTCGCGAGTGCTTTGTCCTGGGTTTGTATCCTGGCCGGGGAGGATTTACTGGGCGCCAATCCTTAACTGAAGCCTCTGTTTAACTCAACAGTAAAATAGATTCTAGGTTGTTTCCTATTCCAGGGAACATAGGATTAAGGACCTGCCTGAAACGCTATGCATACTAGTGGCTATACAAGAATGTAAGAACTCTTGTATAAATAAATAAATAAATAAATAAATAAATAAATAAATAAATAAATAAATAAATAAATAAATAAATAAATAAATACAAATAAATAACACAAGTAGGAGTTAAGGCACCTAAACCAACCATCCCTGACCTATCCTTGAAACAGGAGGTCCCCAAGATAAAGGAGGAGCAAGGAGAAGTTAAGAAGGACCAACAGGCACACTACATCTCTCTCAGTAAGTCTTTGCTTCCTGTTGTTTAGGTTCACCCTTATCCACTGGAGCACCCTATCACTTACTCCAGCTTGTTTCTCCAACTTATGCAACAGTCTCTTATGGAGTACTGTGTCAAAAGCTTTCTGACAGCCGAAGAAAATGCAATCTACCCATCTTTCTCTTTCTTGCTTAATGCTTGTTGCTTGGTCATAGAATTCTATTAAACCTGTGAGACACGACTTGCCATCCCTGAACCCATGCTAGTGGAGAAGAACTACTAATACAAGCCAGTATTCGGGGATAGACGACATCTCCTAAATACGATTGCAAATATTCAGTAAATACTAAAAGGCACCCCCGTGGGAGATGGTGAAGTATCTCATAACGAACGCCGTCACAGCCAGCTGCTGTAGAACCCCAGAGTGACAGGACAGACTGGAGTTCTGAAAGAGAGAAGATTGTTAAAGGGAAGCTGGAGGTGAGTGTGAAAGATCAAGATATGAGACTCAAGAAGGGGCTTACAAGAAAGGAAAGTAGGAGGAATATGGGCACCGGACCTAATGACAGAAAAGTGCGAACCTAAGGCAGTCGGGACCAACACTGGATCTGCATCGACAGAACTATGGAGATGAAGGATAAGCGATAGGTCTGGAACAAACTTGCCAGCAATTTTATGTACCTTCTTCCAAATCTGAGGAATGCCAACCGTAATGCTGGAGATATAGGATTGCCACTTCTGTTTAGCAGTACGGATGGCCTTATGGGCGAAACATAAACAAAGAATCAGAAGTCCGTCGGCGCCGGTGTTTTCGTTTTATCGGGAAATAAGCTGAAAATCCACCCTCATCAGCAGATTTCGATCCGTCCATAAATAGAGCAGTAGCCTGTGAATGGCAGTGAAAATGTAGGAAAATGCGTACCAGGAGGATAGGAAAGGGGAGAGGATGTAAACCTTTATGTATTGGTTGTCTTTAAGGTATTTAATGAACAGGATTTTCCACAAGGGCAACAGGAACTTCTGCAAGACTGCAATTCTTGCAGTGAAAGACTATAAATGAGAATGGGGGGTTTTAGTGGGTCCATGCAAAGTTTCAAAGGTATAAGCAATCGCTGTTGTCTTATAACAATGGAACATCAGTTTTCACAAATAAGCTTTTGGTTGATGAACATCGTAAGGTTCGCAAGCAAAGGCATAAACCAGTATGATGCAGTTAAAGCATTAATACAAGGAGGAACTTGGGCGTCCACTTATCCACACACCACGAGGAATGTGATAAGACCTTTATCTGACACTTTAGCTGACACTTAGTTCACATGTAATGGAAATGTGAGGCCCAGGAACGGTCACATGGATGATATGTTTCTAAGTAAAAGTCATGTTAGAATTTTTCGAATGAAAGTAGAAGTAAAAAATGCAGGAATTATTGAATTAATTATGTTTAAACTTCTGAAATAAATAAAATAAATAAAAGTCATACATCAAACTACTTAGTTTGACTCCAATGCAAGTCGTTCCAACAGCATTAGAAATGTTATTCATTATTATTCACTTCATGAACATGAATTCATCTTAGTAACGAATACATTTTGCACGGAACCTTTTTTTGAACAACATGAAGATGAAAACTGGAAAATCATCCACGCTAAGACGTACCTGAGGTTTGTGGCAGCAGATATAACAGCTTCTGGACCACCACTGTCAACTTTGGGACCTTCCAGAGTAAGAGTGCCAAGAAGTGTGGACATTTCCTCGTCAGTCATGAAGGCGGAGGCAGGAGCCACATTTTCTCCCTGTACGGTTATCAGAGCATATCGCACATCATCTGAAATAATTAACTATTCAGTAACAGCGCCGAGTCTTTCATCCCTAATGGCCTCCAGCCTCTAAGAGTTTCAGATAATTGAAATGACTTGCTTGGGAGTTGGTTGTTCCGTGGCTAAACCTTGCAGGTGCTGCAGTTTAGTGATTGAAAAAGTATAAATGATGAGTAGAAAAGTATTAAGAATGTGTAGTTTCACTGCGTATGTATGTATTAAAATCTTGAAATTTTGAGCTATCCCAGTTTGTTGGTCCTTAAGACAAAAACTTACTCACTTCAGGTTAGGTCTCCGCAATCAAGACAGGCCTACATTATACACATGGTTGAACAAAGCATTTTTCAAACCATCTCTGGCAGGTGAGATTGGTGCTGGGGAAACACTGTATACTCAGTGTAGTTAGAAAGTTAATTAGACGCAACTTAGCAAGAGAGGATAGAAGACGGAATCAGATCTACGCACAGAATGGAAACAACATGTAAAGGATCTATGAATAATGATGTTGGGCGACACTTTGTTCAGTGTTGCTTCCTCATCCACCATCTGTACGTTGCTTCATGTGGGCGGGTTCCTGCTTCACTAGTTTTGGTGGCAGCCTTCACTTGTCTTCCTTGATTTGTTTGCGTTGGTGAAGCGTTTTGGAGACATTCTTAAGTCTCTGGACTGATTGCTCAGAGGTTTCATCTCTACACCCGGTCGTTTCGTGCTTTCAGTGGTTGGAATTTTCCTTTTGAGTTTGCATCCACTGGCAGGGTTTCTGGGAATTTTGTTTCGGTATGTAGGCGTATGTTTGTGAGGTTCATTCATTAAGGTCTACGTTTGTTCAACATACTCCCAGCGGGTATACAATATATTACCGAAACAAACGTAGACAACTTCAAGAGAAAATTAGATATTGTTCTTCAAGAAGTGCTGAACCAACCGGGCTGTGGTGGATATGTGGGCCTGCGATCCACTCCAAACAACAGCCTGTTGGACCAAGCTCTCACAAGTCAAGCCTGGCCTAGGGGACGGGCTTGGGAAACAGAACTTCCAGAACCCCATCCAGGTATTAATGTTGCACCTGTGTCTGGTTTTCTACGGTTTGATTATTTAGTGTTCCAGCAGTGGTTTTCTTCTCTTGATGATTCTCTTCTTCTCTTGATTCACACTATACTGTGACTACTTACCGCTGCGCCGTGTAGTGTGTCAGGGCTATACACATAGTACATTCGGTCCTGCTTCACTGTGTGTAGGAATGGACCTGCAAATTTGTACCCCCCAAGTGAGGCTTATCTATAGTTTTTATGGCCGCATTTGCTCTATTTTTCCATTTTGTCAGCGATGGCACAGCATTTTAGGGACGACCACAAGTCCCTGGACATTAACATACCGGTTGCCTTAAGCTGTAATTTGTGCTTTATTTGGTTGTGCTCTCAACAGTAGTGATTCTTCATTTGACTTAACTGCGACATTTGCAGTTTCTTTGTCCTTTGTCTCTGTACCTGCCGTGCATACACCAGTAATATTTGTTTATGACACACGTGGTTGCTGTCCTTCAACGTGTGTTATGAGACGGTGTGGCCACGAGGAATGTTTTTGCTAGGGTGGGGGGAGGGGAGGTACACAAATATAGATAATCAGCAATGTTGTCGCTGCTGCTAGACTACGCTGAAATTATGGGCAAGGATGATAACCCACCGCTGATGACAGCACTGCCAGGTGCGGCGCCTGTAGTGTTGTGAACCAGGAGGGTAAAGCATCTCTCTACACACTACATCTATTTTTCTCTTAGAAAAATACATGCAAATTATACACACAGTCAAATATGTTTATATTATTATTATATACCAATTATATTGAATTATATGCCAATCGTACTAAGTCATTTATTTATGCATAAGGTAAAGCTAATGAACAAAGCCCAATAAATAATGAAAATAGACATAATTGTCCATTGTAATTTATTTAATGTATTTTTTTACTTTAATATAAAAGTCTACAATTGCCCATGGAAACATGAAACAATTCAGCGTCAAGAACTTACTTATTTTAGATTTCCTGAGATGTACTTTCAGTAGTTGCATAAACTGCTGCAAATTTCTGTCTTTATTGCAGTTGGCGAGTTCAACAATGAGGGCAATATCTGCAGAGCCTTGAGTCTCATCTTGGTAGGTGAGTGACCACCCACTCGGCACACTCACCCCGTCCACCTCACAAGTGCCACCAGCTGGCACTACCGCATCTGCTGCCCTCTCCACCCCAACATCTGTAAACAAACATCACAAGTCCTTAACATCTGTGAACAAACATCACTAGTCCTTAACATCTGTAAACAAACATCACTAGTTCTTAACATCTGTAAACAAACATCACTAGTCCTTAACATCTGTAAACAAACATCACAAGTCCTTAACATCTGTAAACAAACATCACTAGTCCTTAACATCTGTAAACAAACATCACTAGTTCTTAACATCTGTAAACAAACATCACTAGTTCTTAACATCTGTAAACAAACATCACAAGTCCTTAACATCTGTGAACAAACATCACTAGTCCTTAACATCTGTAAACAAACTTCACAAGTCCTTAACATCTGTAAACAAACTTCACAAGTCCTTAACATCTGTAAACAAACATCACAAGTCCTTAACATCTGTAAACAAACTTCATTAGTCCTTATCCCAATAGTCCTTCTGGAACCTGTAAACCTATTTCCCATGCAGATGGGTGTCCAAGCCTGACGCAATGTATGAGTACTTATGTTGTTCTACTGCTCCCCTTCATCAAAATAAGTGGTTCGTACTTGGTTGAATTCTCGTACCAACCCGCAGATCCTGCATGTTGTGGTCAACCCGCAACTGCTGTGTTGTGGTCACTGTATATCTTATGCATTGATCTATTTCAAATTACTTTCTTAATCTGTGATAGACTCTGTGGTATGTAAATGTTTACATTTCTTTTCTTAATTGCAAGTTTTGCACCTTCGTCTGCACTATGATTTCCTATTTCTTACTGAAGCGACCATACGAGTCATAAATACTCATACTCCGCCCAAGTAAAACAGAAACAAGCAACACTTAGTGGGCCAGCCAGAGACTTAGGGCCCGCGCAGGAATATCCCTGATAAAAATCCTATTATTCCCACATGACTTGGCACCCAGTTGATAAGTACCCAACGGCCTTGACGTTCGAGTGTTTGCATTATTGATATGACATTTGTGATCAGATGGATGTTGTCATGTATGTGTTCTTGTTGCAAGGTTTCAATGGCAGTTCTCTAATCTGTATGTATGATAACATGTTGTCGGTGTTCAGCAGGAGCATGTTCCAAGGCCTTTTGAATGGCTGGGTCGTGTTAGAATGAAGGTCGTGTGTAGTGAAGATGGTCACAGTGATGAAGGTCGTGTGTAGTGAAGATGGTCACAGTGATGATGGTCGTGTGTAGTGAAGATGGTCACAGTGATGATGGTCGTGGGTAGTGAAGATGGTCACAGTGATGATAGACGTGGGTAGTGTTGATGTGGCCTCCGTTGTCCACTCGAGCAAGGTCGGGTACTCTGCTAGTCCTCAATAGGAGGAGTAAGCTCCCTGGTCCAAACAGAAGCAGCCGGTTTGAGCTGCGTGCTTTGCTCTGCGGATCTTTGGAACTGTTTATTTGCTAAGTGGTGTTGCAGAGCGAGCGTACAGTCTGTCATTCACTATCCCCGCAATAAGCATTAGTTCCCATGAACTGACTTTATATACTGACGTAGAAGTAATATAATTCTCATGAGTATCGTACCTGCCTGGCAGTAGTGTGGGGCCGGCAAGTATACGCCTTGGGCCAGGCACTGAGTGCGGTACGACATCGCTGCCTGGCAAGCAGCCTCCTCCTCCTCCTCCTCCTCGTCAGCGACTCCACGTTGAGTGAAGGTGTTGATACAGTGCCAGAAATACGGCTCCGGGTTAACAAGGGAGAAGCAACTCCTGAAGGGACTGTCTTCCTCCCTGAGGAATAAGTGAGCGCACTCGTCCACACCCTCAGCTTCACTCAGTTCCTTCACCTGCACCGCCTGGTTAGCCTGTGGGTCAAGGTTAGGTTAGGTTAGCCTGCGGGTCAAGGTTAGGTTAGGTTAGCCTGTGGGTCAAGGTTAGGTTAGGTTAGCCTGTGGGTCAAGGTTAGGTTAGGTTAGCCTGTGGGTCAAGGTTATGATAGGTTAGCCTGTGGGTCAAAGTTATGATAGATTAGCCTGTGGGTCAAGGTTATGATAGATTAGCCTGTGGGTCAAAGTTATGATAGGTTAGACTGTGGGTCAAAGTTATGATAGATTAGCCTGTGGGTCAAGGTTATGATAGATTAGCCTGTGGGTCAAAGTTATGATAGGTTACCCTGTGGGTCAAGGTTATGAAAGGATAGGTTAGGTTAGGTTACCCTGTGGGTCAAGGTTATGAAAGGATAGGTTAGGTTAGGTTACCCTATGGGTCAAGGTTAGGTTAGCCTGTGGATCAAGGTTATATCAGGTTACCCTGTGGGTCAAGGTTAGGTTAGCCTAGGGGAGAACCCATGGCGACCCCATCTACTTGCTTATACATGTGCCCTTTGCAGTTACTTCCATTCTTCCCTCTCATTTATCCAATTTATACCCATTGCAACGTGTTCTATCTTGTCTTGTTCAAAAGTTTGTTCACCTCATCGAAATCTGCTGCAAATATCACCTCACCCAAATGCAAGTATAAAAGACAAGCTATTCAATGTTAGCATTAAGTAAAACTCTGTTTAGTGTTTTCAGGTTACAGTTGTGTGTGTGTAAACTAAAGTCTTTGAAAATGTAATAAGTTATTACGAAATGCGTTCAAGCGTCGCGTCAGACTAGAAATATAAATGCATTTTGGAGAACTGATTTTTCAATTACCATCGATAGTAAAAAAAAACAAGAAATATTGAGAAAATTCTGTGTTAGAAATCTTACTTTTTCGATATATATATATATATATATATATATATATATATATATATATATATATATATATATATATATATATATATATATATATATATATATATATATATATATATATATATATATATATATATGTTGTTGAATATCATCTTGCGGTCATACACTCCTTTCGTGTCTGGAGAGTACTTCGTGATTAGTTTCGCCGTTTTCTTGTTTTTGTAGTAAATTGTTAATTGCATCTTCTGATTTTTGTCTGTGGGGATAACGTTCCTATTAATAATATCTTTCAGGACCCTTTCCTCCGTTTTATGAGCTGTGGAAAAGAAGTTCGTGTAAAACAGTCTAATAAGGGTACAAGTGTTGTGTTGGTTGACTCCTCAGAGGTTGCAAGGCGTTTCATTTTTATCTTTTGATGAAGATGTTGAAGACGTTATCAAAAGAAAGGTGAAACGCCATGCAACCTCTGAAGAGTCAACTAACACAACACTTGTACCCCCTATTAAACAGTTTTACAGGAATTTCTTTTCAACGGCTCACAAAACGGAGGAAAGTGTCCTGAAAGATATTGTTAATAGGAACGTTATCCCCACAGACAAAAATCAGAAGATACAATATAATCTCCTCACACAACCAGACCATCACCAGAGAAATCTTTACAAGCAACACAGAAATTATCGATAGATACAACGATAACAGGAGGCTTGACATCAGCGAGGCACTACACATCAAAAAGTCCAAACCAGCAATCAACAGCCAATTAACACATAATTACATTCTAGCCCTTCTAGCCCATTCTAGCCCTCTCCCCTTCTAGCCTGGGGAGAGCAAGAATCACCAGCATGTACACAATGCTGAAACAGAGACGAATGCGCTGGCTCGGGCACGTTGTGCGAATGGGCGACGGCAGGATCCCCAAGGATCTCCTGTATGGAGAGCTGAGGCAGGGAAAGCGTCCAGTAGGCAAGCCCCAGCTACGGTACAAAGACGTATGCAAAAGGGACCTGAAAGCCATGGACGTCGATCTTGCTATATGGGAGACACTGGCTACAGACCGTTCAGCCTGGAGGCAGTCTGTTCAACGAGGTCTCTCCAAGTTCGAGGAGTCACTTGCCAAGGAATCGGAGGCAAAGAGACAGAGAAGGAAAGCCGGTAACCAGGAAGACAGACCAGAATCGGACTTCGTTTGTGCTCGGTGTGGGATGGACTGCCACTCTCGGATTGGCCTCATCAGTCACACCAGACGCGCGCTGCACCAGGATTGACAACTAGGGCGCAACTCCATAGTCTCCCGAGACTGAAGGATGCCTACTACATTCTAGCCACTTCAAGACCCCAAACCTGCACAGAAGAAAGCAGATAAAATGCACACCTAATTTATACCCATTGTTTCCTGTTCTGTCTTTTCCCATTGAATTGTTTCCTGTCACCTCACCCAATACATTTGTACCTTATCACCTCACCCAATACATTTGTACCTTATCACCTCACCCAATACATTTGTACCTTATCACCTCACCCAAAAACAAATTTAAGCATGAAACAGAGTACATTAAAATGTCTTTGAAAATGTGAGAAGTCTTGCGAACGCTTCTAGGCATCAGACCATAATAAAAATGTAAAATATTAATTTTAAAGAGTTAATTTTTCAATTACCCTCGACAGTAACTGGCATAACTGGTACGCCTTTAACCCACTGCACCACAGCTCAGACCCTTAAAAGAGATGGTAATTTCGTAGTATTTCACCTCCAAAGATCACCACCTCCCAAGGGCAACTAGAGCATAGTGAGGGGCTACTCACGTTCTTTCATCAAATTCCTGTTAATATGGGTCTGAGCTGTGGTGCAGTGGGTTAAAGGCGTACCAGTTATGCCAGTTGCTGTAAGGCTTCTGTGCTGGCTAGGGTTCGAATCTCCTGGTGGGAAAGTGTTCTAAGGTTGTATAATCTCTCTTGCGTGTTTAGGCAAGTTGTGCATTAATATATATATATATATATATATATATATATATATATATATATATATATATATATATATATATATATATATATACATATGTCGTACCTAGTAGCCAGAACGCACTTCTCAGCCTACTATGCAAGGCCCGATTTGCCTAATAAGCCAAGTTTTCATGAATTAATTGTTTTTCGACTACCTAACCTACCTAACCTAACCTAACCTAACTTTTTCAGCTACCTAACCTAACCTAACCTATAAAGATAGGTTAGGTTAGGTTAGGTAGGGTTGGTTAGGTTCGGTCATATATCTACGTTAATTTTAACTCCAATAAAAAAAATTGACCTCATACATAATGAAATGGGTAGCTTTATCATTTCATAAGAAAAAATTTAGAGAAAATATATTAATTCAGGAAAACTTGGCTTATTAGGCAATTCGGGCCTTGCATAGTAGGCTGAGAAGTGCATTCTGGCTACTAGGTACATATATATATATATATATATATATATATATATATATATATATATATATATATATATATATATATATATATATATATATATATATATATATATATATATATATATTGTGTAGTAATGGGAGTACAGGTTTGTACAGCGGAAGTCCATATGTATGGTGAAGCTTGTGTAGTGGACCTACATGTGTATTCACCTAGTTCCGTTTGCGGGGGGTTGAGCTTTGCTCTTTCGTCCCGCCTCTCAATTGTTAATCAACTGTTTACTAACTACTTTTTTTTTTCTCCACTCACCCCACACACACACTCCAGGAAGCAGCCCGTGACAGCTGACTAACTCCCAGGTACCTATTTACTGCTAGGTAACAGGGACATTCAGGGTGAAAGACACTTTGCCCAGTTGTTTCTGCCTGGTGCGGGAATCGAACCCGCGCCACAGAATTACGAGTCCTGCGCGCTATCCACCAGGCTACCAAGCCCTGTGTATTGTGAAGCCTGTGTAGTGAACCTACATGTGTATTGTGAAGCTTGTGTAGTGAACCTACATGTGTATTGTGAAGCCTGTGTAGTGGACCAACATGTGTATTGTGAATCTTATGTAGTGGACCTACATGTGTATTGTGAAGCCTGTGTAGTGGACCTACATGTGTATTGTGAAGCCTGTGTAGTGGACCTACATGTGTATTGTGAAGCCTGTGTAGTGGACCTACATGTGTATTGTGAAGCCTGTGTAGTGGACCTACATGTGTATTGTGAAGCCTGTGTAGTGGACCTACATGTGTATTGTGAAGCCTGTGTAGTGGACCTACATGTGTATTGTGAAGCCTGTGTAGTGGACCTACATGTGTATTGTGAAGCCTGTGTAGTGGACCAACATGTGTATTGTGAAGCCTGTGTAGTGGACCTACATGTGTATTGTGAAGCCTGTGTAGTGGACCTACATGTGTATTGTGAAGCCTGTGTAGTGGACCTACATGTGTATTGTGAAGCCTGTGTAGTGGACCTACATGTGTATTGTGAATCTTGTGTAGTGGAACTTCACATGTATGAAGAAGCCAATGTAGTGTAACTGCATGTACATGGTGGGACTACAGGTAGCGGTGGTACCTGATGGACGGAGGTCGTCGGTAATCAAGGAAACAGCAACATGAGAGCTTCAAGAGTACCTACCTAATTCGAGGACCCAGGGATAGTTGGACCTGAGAATGATTTTCAGGACGTAATACAGAGAGTTATATGGACATCATTGTTGTTTGAGGGAGTGCATGAATCCATATGTTATGAATGACACAGAGCGAGGTGAGAGCTGTTACGACCCTGGGTTCTCCAGTGGAAACCAGAGGTCAAAATTGAGCTATTAAACTTCCTAAGTAGTACAGTTGGCGCATTTCGAATGGAAATTGTTTGTATCTTCCCTGCCAGACGTAAGACTATTATTGTTTCTCAAAGAGCATTTAAAGACTGAGCTGGGGGTTGATTATTAAATAATAACATAGGCACCAACTTTGCTTACTAATACTTTCTAATCATTCATAAAGTAACAATACGTTGCATAGGGGAAGATCTTTAATGTGCTTAGCTGCACGATCAATTAGGCTCCTCTCGGCACCACAACATGAGGGAGGCAGCTGGTGGCTAGCTCGGTCTTCTCTTGGCTGGTGGCGTGAGGTTAAGACCTACTCTGTGGCT